TTCTTTGTTTGCGCTTAGTGTCTCTACTGCTCTCCATAGCTTAAGCTCTACAACTTATCAACCAAGGTAACTTCAAGATGTGTCGACTTCAATTCCCAGAATTCCTCAGTCAATATTCTAAGAATTGAAATCCACACATCTTAAAGTTACCAAGTTTGACAAAGACTGCCTGCTTGCTTTTCAGAAGGTTACAAAAGGAATCGCATGACCCCAGGACTTGCAACCGTCATAAATATGAACCAGTTGTCAATCATCCAAATGTAAATCACATGACCATGGGGATGCTGCAGTGGTCATAACTGTGAAAAATGACCTTAAGTCACTTTTTTCAGTGGCGTTGTAACTTCGAACGGTCACTAAATGAACTCTTCTAAGTCAAGAACTACCTGTGCAGTGTTTGAAGAATGGGAGAATATTAAACTTCTCTATTGTCTTAATGGAATTTGTCTAAATTCCAAAATACAATCAAAGTATCTGGATCAGCAGTTCAGCGGTTTGAATCCCTAGTGCCGCGTAACGGGGTGAGCTCCCGTTACTTGTCCCAGCTTCTGCCAACCTAGCAGTTTGAAAGCACGTAAAAAATGCAAGTAGAAAAATAGGGACCATCTTTGGTGGGAAAGTAACAGCGTTCCGTGCACCTTTGGCGTTTAGTCATGCCGGCCACATGACCATAGAGACATCTTCAGACAGCTCTGGCTCTTCGGCTTTGAAACAGAGATAAGCACTGCCCCCTAGAGTCGGGAACAACTAGCACATATGTGCGAGGGGAACCTTTACCTTTATCTTTATTGTCAAATACCCAAATCCGTGATTCACATATGCGTATGAAGCTTCACTTATCCAGTAATGTTATGCAGATATAAACTGCTTAGGCTGATTTCCCACCTTAATTGCTACTTTTCCATACCAAATTACTGGGAGAAGTTGAGATGGTTTCCTGGTCACAACATGGACAAACCCTCACTGTCTGGACCTATTTTAGTAATAATTTATGGCTCTGCCAAGGACGCTCCCATCCCAGGATATATTTCATTCCATCCATCTTATCTATTGTCTTCCTTTTCTTCCATTTCTCTCAGTCTTGTCAAGGGTATCCCTGTTTTAAATCCATTATTTCTTTATTTCTCATGCCCAAAAGTATGCAGCTTGAGTTGCCGATCACTGTCCTAAGGGAACAATATTTATTTCCTATTTTATCTGGTAGGAATGACTGACTGGTTCTTACCGCAGTCTAAGATATCCTCAGTATTATCTCCAAATCCCTAATGTAAAGGCATCTTTGTTTTTTACACTTTTTGTTCAGCATTTTCAAAGCAATATGTTACCACCCCAAAGAACACGGCTTGAACTATTTTTATATTTAGTTGACAACCAGTTTTGCTGAATCTGGGTGACTATTCATTATCTCAAGGAAATATGTCCTTATATAACATGCTGTCAATCTACTGAAGTACTTGGATTTGGTTATTTATTGGTTTTACTACCAAAACTTTAATATAGAAAAGGTAGTGGATGGCAGTAGCTTTTGCTAAACCAACTGTCCATAAGTATATCCAAGGGAGAGAGACTGCCAATTGTAAAACAGAAAAGGGGGAATAGGAGAGAAATTCAAGTCTGGGAGAGAAAATAATAAGAGTCAAATATTTCCAGAACATTTGGGAGTTGCCCAAAACCACAATAGAAGGATTAGAGGAGAAACCAAGAAATTACTGACATAGTTAACAAGCAATGTCACCATTCAGGGGAGAGGTGTGTTGCTTCAAAAAAGAGAAAAATCTTGTCCACATAAGTATCTCCCACCTGGTTAGCTCGTTCGTGGGTCTTATTTATAGTGTGTTAGATTAAAAAAAAGGTGAATCATTTCCTTGCTATAAGACCTCAGCTATTCAAAGGCACTTGTGATCATGTTACCTGTAGATTCACCCTGTCCATGTTCTTGCTGCAAAATCATCTCCTTTTCTGAGTATATAGAGCAAGGTATTCATCAGTCTGCATGAACCTCTGGCAGGTCATAATGCTACTGTTTGCTGAAGGACTTTTATGACAACTTTTTTTTTACTAATACTCTGTATTTCTAAGCATAAATACAGCCTAGCAGAAGTTTATTTGTTAAATTTATATCCAGACTTTTGCTCAAGAATATAAAAATTAAAAATATACATAATGCTACTGTTTGCTGAAGGACTTTTATGACAACTTTTTTTTTTTACTAATACTCTGTATTTCCCTAAGCATAAATACAGCCTAGCAGAAGTTTATTTGTTAAATTTATATCCAGACTTTTGCTCAAGAATATAAAAATATAAAAATATACATACCAAATCACTTATAAGTTGTTAAGAGAGTATAAAGGTAAAGAAGTCACCTGCGGATTTTACTCCGCTAGTCATTGCTGACTATAGGGGCGATGCTTATCTCCATTTCAACGCCATTGAGCCAGTGCTGTCCCAAGACATTCCTGCGGTCATGTGGCCAGGATGACACACAGAACGCTGTTCCCTTCCCAGTGAAGTGGTACTTATTTATCTACTTGCATTTGCATGCTTTCAATCTGCTAGGTTGGCAGGAGCTGAGGTGAGGACGGGAGCTCACCCCATTGTGTGGTGATCAGGTCTTGAACCTGGACTGCTGACAAGCCCAGCGCCTTAACCACTAAGCCGCCGTGCCAACGTTAAGAGCATGTGACCCATCTAAAATCAGCCGGTGAATTTCCATAGCTGAGGATCAAACAGAACGTGGGTCTCAATACTATACCACATAAGTTCTTGTGAAGTCTTCCATCAGTATTTCCTTTCTTGTGTTCCTGATTGAAATTGTCCTACTGCAGTGCTGGCCCATTTAGGAAAGAAACCTCATTAAGTAAATCAAGCACAATGGATGCATTCAACCCACTGTAAAAGTGAAGATCCATCCCGCCCTAGGACTTTATAGAGACTTTAAGATGATTCAATTGAGAAGCTCCAGATCTTAAAAAGAGCAATTGCACGCATACTTTTTTTTTTTCCTCATTAGGGAAGATGTCGGCAGAAATAAGCTATCTGACAGCTTGCCTGGCTTTGATGAGGCCTTCACACCTTCAGGAAAAATGTGACTGTAAAGCAGGCAGCGCAGGATAAGGAATATGCAAGGCTGGCAGGAGTTATTTGGATGTCATTCTTCCTTCTTCTGACCAGGAGGGCTACAATGACTCCTAATTTGAGAGCTGGCTGTGCATTCCCCCTTAGAGAGGGGGGTGGAAAATGAGTGTGTGGTTTTTTTCACTGCAAGAAGCAAGACCTTCTATTTTCTGATGTAGAAACCAAAAACAAAACCTACCAGGCAAGACTTTGGATTCGGTTTTGAGACAGTTCGGCAAGCGCTTAGTGAAATCCCTGCCTTATCTCTGCCAAGATAGGCTTTCAGTAGATGACACAATATACAGTACGAGAAGCAAGAAAGCGGCGAGCAAAGAGACTGTGCTGCCATTCCAGATCATCTTTGTTTATTGCTTCCTCCATAGGTGAGAAACCGAAGAAATCAGAAATGAGAATTTTATGTTGCAATTCAATCTAGAATAGAAAGTTGGGGCAGCTCTTAAGATCATGTGTGTGCTCTTTATTAACACTGGCACCAGTGGTAGGATTCAAATTTTTTTACTACCGGTTCTGTGGGCGTGGCTTAGTGGGCACGGAAGGGGGAAGGATACTGTAAAATCTCCATTCCCATCCCACTCCAGGAGAAGGTTACTGCAAAATCCCCATTTCCTCCCAATCAGATAACAGATTAACAGAGTTGGAAGGGATTTTATAGGTCATCTAGTCCAATCCCCCCGCTCAAGCAGGAGACCTTACACCATTTCTGACAAATGACAGTCCAATCTTTTCTTGAAAGTCTCAAGTGATGAAGCTCCCACAACTTCCGAAGCCAAGCTGTTCCATTGGTTGATTGTTCTCACTGTCAGAAAGTTCCTCCTCATTTCTAGGTTGAATCTCCCCTTGGTCTCCTAAGCTGGGACTCGAGGCAGAAAATAGATGGGGGTGGAGCCAGTCAGAGGTGGTGTTTACCGGTTCTCTGAACTACTCAAAATTTCTGCTACCGGTTCTCCAGAACTGCTAAATACCACCCGATTGGCACTCAACTTTTCTCTTTCCAATTAAATGATATTCAGGGTCATACGGTTATTTGGAGATCATTCATAGCCTGCGTGCATCAATTGCTCTTATTGGTATTGAATTGAATAACATTAATGAGTGTACACAGACAGGAGTGCATATTGTTTTCTTAAGCATTAACAAAAAATGCATTAAACTTTGCACTACAGTGGAATCCAGAGGGTCAAGTTTCTAATTTTTACTGGGAGTGTTCTGCACTCTTTCCAATTCTTTTAGGATAAAATTTAACTGGACTAAAAAAAAAAAATCCACATACCTGCTGTGAGAACGACATGCTTGCTTACAGGCTGTTCAATCCATCATTGCTTATCATTTCAGTGAATGCAAAATATAGCTCGTAATAGTTTCATTACTCACAGCTAAAATAAACCGGGGGGGGGGGGGAGGTTTGTTAAACCTGTAATGATCGCAAGCAGCCACAAGATGGTGATGACTAACTTTGGAACCTAATTCCATTGAAGAAAATCTTCAGAGCACTAGAAATAAAAGTTGAACCAATTAATGTTGAGCAATTTTAGTGAAGGAGCAAGGGCAGTAGTAAGACCCATCCACAAATTTGTTAAAGATTTTATTATTTTATTTTAAATAAAATAATAAAATTTTCATAATTTTATTAGTTATTATCTAGTGCTGGGCCACAAGCCCAAATTAACAACAAAAGCTTTCTAGATGAATACACACACACACCCCAAATCTTAAGAAGTATACTAAATCTCGGCTAATATAAACAAGGGGTTTCTTTGAGCAATAACAGAACATTTTGGGTTGCACTTAAGACGGATAAATCCTCACCCCCTAGTTTATACACCCGTTTATAAATGCAAAAAGTAGCATCTTTGTCAGGTAGTCAGAAGTAATTGTTTTACTGAACCGTTTTATGCTTTTAAAAAAGCTTGCATTTAACCCATTTACAGTGTGGAAATTTGAAGTGGAAAGTCCCATAAATCAACAACTCAGCTGTCATCTTCCTACTAGTTAATTCATTATTTTTTTTAATCCACATATATTACACGTGGGACCCATTTGTTCTCCAAAAACTTCTTTCGTCCCTTGATTTGCTTCCATGTTGCCAGTTTTAACTTCAGAATCAGAAGTCCATCATGTGCCTACAGAACACACAGAAGCAGCAGCCAATGTGCTGGTAGCCAGAAATGAAGGCTTCATATTACAGAAATGGTTCTTGAGAGTGTCATCCGTTTTTCTTTTCTCTTTCCACAGACAAAATGTCTAATCTAAAAAGAAAACCCTTCAAATTTCCAAAATTGTTTTCTGTCACGTAACACACTGTATTATATGTACTGTATGGTTATAACGGGCTGTATTTATACACCCTGTTATACCATAATGTGGTTTGTTTGGTTTGGCTTGATTGCATGGGAATTTCAAGATAGAAGCAATTTGACTCCCAGATACCTCATGTTCTTATTTCCACTCTTAACTCCCCTCTCCCAAAACAAGTTAAATTTGGTCTGTTTACAACTTTACGAGAGGAGGGTTACAGGGGTGTTATAGGTGGGAATGTGAGCTGAAAGTTTTCTAAGCTCACTCTTAATTTTGAGAATCCTTTCACCCAGAAAGACTAGGCCACAGAAATCTGGTCATATTTTTGCCATATTTTGGTAGAGCAATATTTGCAGACATTTTGCCCACATGGCTGGCAAGATGCCCATCATTGTCTTAGGTTAAACCTTGTTGCAAATAAACTTGTGTGTTATTTAATAAACCATTATTAAATAAGCCACTGTTTAGCACAAACAAACCCTGGACTAGGTTCCCACGCTGCACTAAGCCATTTTCACTTAACACATTGTGTGAACCTGGAAATTACAGGCTATTAAAAATCATGGTTTGAGCAAACTATGACTTAGTATAACTGCAGTTGGCAGATTTAATGTTATACACCTAGTAATGCAAAATAAAAAAAAATTCCAATCTTCATTATTATTCATATACGTGAAGAGAAAAGTACATGAGTTTGAATCTCAACCACATTATTCTAAAGCATAATTCAGAATTATTTTTTAACCAGGCAATTCCTTCGATTCTTCTATCCATATGCAAACATAATTAAGGCATAATATCTTCAGTCTAAAAAGACTGCTTATATCCAAAATCATTTACCAATTTTGTTACAACAGTTGATCAGAGACATGTACTACGTATTTCAATAACTGTTTCATTAAAAAAAAAAAATCAAGAGTCTATATTTGGAAAACTATTTCTTGATTTCAAACACCTACATTTCAAGTAAAAAAATAAAGAAACATATCAAATATTTTGAAAATGCAAAAAACAAAAGTTTTGTTTTTCCTGGAGTTCTTCACATTACTCTTTTCAACTTCCAGTCTCCAAGTGTCACCTTTTTTTTTCTTCCAAAGATTCAGATGAGATGAAATTATATGTTAATATACAATATAATGTTCCATATCAATTTTGCTTCTAATAATTTTTCACTGTTGACACTCCAGAAATCTTTCCATTTTCAAATTATTTTATGTCCAATTTCAATTGATTTTAGGGAAAGAATCCTGTGGAAGCCTTTATTATTTTTTTTAATGAAGGATTTAATACTAATTTGCTCTTTATTGGATGCACATTTAAGAATTGGGCTCCACAACAAGTAGCGGCACAACTGAACAAAAATAGAAAAAGAAAAAGTAACTTTCGACCAAAATGCTATTTGCGTTCTTCATTTAACCTGGCGTACATCTTGGTACTGAAAAGCTTGTCTTCACTGGGGGAATAAGATGCATCTTTGATCACTCCTGAAAAGGAAGAGTCCATCACTGGATGAAAAGGAAAAGCAGGAAACAAGCCAGTCCTCAAGTATGGTGCTATCAATCCAGGTAAAGCTCTTCCCGGAGGAGAATAAGTCACTCTTAGAGGTCCAATTCCCAGTCTTGGGCTTAAGCCATAAAAATTCATCTCTCTCCTGGAAGAGGCCGAGCTGGTTTGAAGAGGAACAAATGCTGATTTATTGCCAAGTGCTGCGACATCTACTCCGAGGCCAAAATCAGAAGATCTCTGGAAAGCACTGCATTCGGGCAAGACTGGGATTGCAAGCTCTTGGAATCCTTGCCTGTGTTCGCTGGCATTCAGGATCTGCTCTATAGCTTGGACTATGTCTCCTCTGCAGAGTTGCAGAACTCTTTCCAACCTGCTTGGTTTGTGATTAGGAAAGACCTTGGTAAGAATATTAAGTGGGTCTCTGCGCTTTAAGGCACCATCAGGGGCAACAGCAGCAGCAGGAGGGACGCTGGCATTACAGGGAACAAAATCCTTGGGACACTCACTTTCATTTCCTGATTCCATGTCCGAAGACGACAAAGAGGCTGGGCTGTCAGTTCCTTCTAAAGATTCCTCAGGACCCGATAAAGATATGTCTTTACCTAAAGCCTGTGTCTCGGATGGCTTCTCTTGATTGCTTCCAGCAGCTTCAGGAGAAGATGTCACAGAGGGTGTAAGTAAATGGACTACAGAACTGCCCGATTCACTGCAGTAGAAGTCATACTTCTGAATCTTCTCTTCTAATGGGGAAAAATGCATCCGAATACTCAAGTTATTACAATATATCTGATTTATGCACTGCTTTCTCATATAAACACCCTAAAGCTTCTAGGCATTACCAATTATGGAATCGCATCTTTTATGTACACATTTCAGTGCCTTTAAAAACTCTTACTTTCACTGTATACGACAGATTTCCCATAAACTCCTAGTTTACCATAAGTGCCCAAGTCACAGGTTGCTATATGCATGCATGACATATAATGTATATATCCTCTTTTTTTGGTACCTATTACGAAATATCCAAGCAGGATTGTTCACATGTACAGAGTGTGAAACAGAAAAACACACTTACTGTAAAGTAGAAACACTACAACAATACAACATGGAAATCGTAAAATGAAAGCAGTATCTACATAGGATATTCTTTATGTGTGAAGTCGCTCCTAAGTACTTAAAACCTACAAACTGTATCTGAAAGTGAATTGTCGTAATTGGATAATGTGCTTTTGTCATCCATAAAGAAGAAAATAATGTTTCCATGCTTTTCCCATACAACTTGTTCTTCTGCCTCCCTCCACAGATTTCCTACAGCACAAGCTGTTCTGCAGAAAGACCATTTAAATTAATGAGAGCACTAAAAGAAAACTATAATACCCATTATCTTTTAACTTTCCCAAGACAATTTCTTGGTGCTTTGTATCTTTATATACTACAATTGCCCATACGAAGGCCAGCTCATAGATTCAGTTCATTTGCTTTGGAACAAGTAATATATTCTGTTTTGGTAGTATACATGCAATGCCAAATGCTTGCAACATTAATAATACCTTTGTATAATTTTTAGAAACATTGTTTTTCCAAGCATTAATATTTTCCTTAAAATGTAAGCAAATGGCTAACCTGCACCCATAATTAAAAATGAAACTTTTTAAAGTTCTCCAATAATCCATGCTATGGAACATGATGAAAAGCCATAATCTTTACACATTCTGGGAAGTGCCAGAATGTGGATGCGTTTGAGATGGAAGAAGAGCTATAATGCTATTAAAAACAGACTTTTTAGCACCTTTTGAACCTAAAAAGACTTCATATTCTTTCTACCATAAATTATTATGTCAACACAAACCCATTTAGGTGAATGGATCTTACAGAGATCAATGGATTCTATCTACAGTTCATTTCAATTCCAGCAATGCATAGAGTTGAGCTGTGATTCTTTTCCTTTCCTTCCTTCCTCCCTCCCTCCCTCCCTTCTTCCCCTCCCTCCCTTCTTTCTCTTTCTTTCCTTTCTTGCCACAGGAAAGGCAGATTCCTACTTTACAATCTATTACATCAAGCAACATGATTATTAGTTTCCTAAGGTGTTTCTTCACTAATCCTAAATAACAATTAATTAAGTAATGAATAATCTTCATAATCCAAAAAGGATTCGAGCTGCACACTCGCCTATAAAATAGCTCGCATTAAATACACACCGATAGCTATTATTTGCCCTGAAGGTCATTAAGAACAAAAAAAAAGGAAAATTCAATCAGTCCTATCCCAAATAGCTATCGAAACAGATTATTGTACAAGCCGCGCACACTTCAGAGAAATCATCCCCCACCCCCTTCTCCGTGATCTCCCTCTGATCTCTGCCACGAAGAAATCTAAAACATAAACTTGGGAGGAAAGACCCAGTGGTTCTCCTTTCCGCCCCCAAGAGATGCTTCATTATAATTGCCAACATCCTCGATTATTCACCGTTCAGACGGTGAATAAGCTCTCGTGAACCAGGCTGACTGAAACGCCACCTATTTCCCATCTCTTCTGACTTAAAGCCCTTTAAGCTCGAATCAGCCACGTTGATTGAGTTCGGGAGGTTTTCTTTCTCCCGCCTCCCCCCCCCCCACCACTTTTAAGGGAAATTTAACCCCAAACACGGAGGGGAATCCCACCTCTTCGCCCGCGCTGGAACTCCGGGCAGTAACTCTTGGGAGCCGGCTCGCTTTCACCGCCGGCGTTGCCGGCTGCTTGGCTCCCGGAGCTCAGGCGGACCGCAACAGGCGTCCGCTTCTGCTGCTGGTTGGGGTGAGTCCCGCCGCCTCCGCCGCCTCCACCCCGCGCGTCGATCTCCTCCTGCGCTTGCTGCCTGCGCAGCGCCACCTGGGCGGCCATTACGCGTTGCCGCTCCGCGATGAGTGCGCATTTGCCGCACGCACAATCCCGCCAGCGGCAGAAGCGCTTGTGGCCCTTCAGCGCCGACACCACGCCGTGGTTGCGGCAGCGGGCGCATTTGGGCGTGCGCGGGTAATAGGCCCCGCGCTCCAGGCCCACCGCCGCCTGCGCGTAGCAGCTGGAAGGATTGCCCGCGGTGGCGGCCGCCGCCGCCGCCGCTGCAGCCGCGGCGGCCGCGGCGCGCACGAAGAAGCTAGGGGGGCGAAGGAAGGTGGGCGGCATGGGGACCCCCGCCGCTGCCGAGGGTGCTCTGGGCACCGAAACGGGCAGCCCCGGCGGGGGCAGGAGCGGCGGGTTGCTCGTCGCCATGAGTCCGCGGATCGGGAGCAGCGCACGGTTGCTCCTCCGAAGGCGCGAGTGTGATCGGGCGCTGGCCCCTGCAGACCCCGAGAGAGTGGCTGGCGGGGTGTCCGCCCACTTGAGAGCAGGGAGCCGCCCACCAAGACCGAAGAGACGGGGGAACCTCTCTTAACACTCCGGACGAGTTGGAAGTGTCTCTGTGGAGATTCTCAGTCGTCCCAAGTCATGGTTGTCCCAAAGGTGCTTTTTTCATGAGGCAACTGGACTTTCTGGTTTTTCTTTGAAGACGTTTCGCTTCTCATCCAAGAAGCTTCTTCAGCTGAAGAGCTGAGCTTCAGAGCTGAAGAACCTTCTTGGATGAGAAGCCAAACCTCTTCAAAAAAAAAAAAAACCAGAAAGTCCAGCTTTCTTGAAAAAAAGCACCTTTGAGAGGAGTTGGAAGTGTGTGTTTGTGTCTGTGGGTTGGCTGCACTACTGTGCGCTTCTAGAGGTGGCCAAGAAAGACCTCCACTTTTTTAGCCTCGGAAATACATGTATGCGTGAAAACCATTCAGGAACTGTGCTGCCTTTTATCTTTTTTTTTCCATTGGCGCCTTCCAGTACCAACCCGTGTTAGGCAGGTGAGCCTGCATTCAGACGCATGTGGATCTTGGGGAAAAAGCAGTGGCGCATCAAACCGTCTTCCATTAAGCAGGCTTGATTTAAAAAAAAAAAACCTTATATTTCTGGTGCAACATAACCAAACTTCACAAATATATTCCCTTTAGTGGGGATAAACAAAAAATCCCAGCTGAAGAAGCTTTTTGGATGAGCAGGGAAAGGTCTTCAAAGGGGGGAAAAAAACCAGAAAGTCCAGTTGCCTCTTGAAAAAGCACCTTTGGCACAAAAAATCTGAACAATTGGCAACTTTTTGCTCCTGCTTCCCACCCATACGTACCCCTGTTGCTGGTGGCCTATGATTATTTGAAGTAAGACACTTGGCATGTGCAGCAGTATCAGATAAAATTCACTTTACCGCTGTGATTATGTTGTGCCGCTCTTATCTCCTAAGAATAAGCAAGATTTATTAGAAGATCCCCAAAGAATGTTAAAACACCTTCCAGGGCTGAAAAGGTCCATCATTCCTTCCCATCCTTGTAAAGCTCTCATAGCAAGATAGATTAACAAGATAAAATTTATTTTATGTAAATTTGTGCTTTATTGGTAATGACTGCATTATCCATGCCTTCTCCACATCTTTGAAACATTTAACTCAAGCACTGTCAGCTGGACAAGGTAGAGCAGAATAAGAAACCAATTGTATATGAGTCACGACTACTTTTTTGTTTTTTATTTGATTTATATGCCGCCCTTCTCCGGAGACTCAGGGCGGCTTACAGTGCATTAAGCAATAGCCTTCATACTTTTGCATATTTTATACAAAGTCAGCTTATTGCCCCCACAAACTGGGTCCTCAATTTACCTACCTTAGAAAGGATGGAAGGCTGAGTCAACCTTGAGCCTGGCAAAATTCGAACTTACTTTAATTGCAGACAGCTGGTGTTAAATTACAGTGCTTAGTCTGCAGAGCTATCCAGGCTCCTGACTTTTATCGTAACAGCTATAATAAGACAATCTTGCAAGTCTGAATGTGCTTTCCTCTGCCCTCACTCTACCGTTATGTGAACAAGGAAGGGTCATGCCTGAAATGTTTTCTCAACTTTGCTTATTGGCCTTATTAACTTATTTGACTGTTGCCTTAGTGACCGCTCTTCTTCCTGTCCTTGAAGGCCATTTCCTATGCCCTGTACAGAATTCAGAGATATTTGATGGAAAACTCTGTAGGACCAAGAAGAAGACTTGACAGAAGACCTTATTGATTGCTGTTTACATACTATTCTCAGAAATAAGGTGCTTTAGTTTGTTTGAAATATTAGACTGATATTTAATGCTCATATTCCCAGCTCAATATGTGAATCCAGCCAGAGAATAGTTATCTAGTGCAGATAAACAATATAAAACACATTGAGCCTTACTGAATCAGGCCAGGGTGTACGTGCATTAAGAGCTGCTTTCCAACTTGGGTCAACCCATGATTTTATTGCTTGCCCAGCATGAATATAAAAACATTTGTATTCTTCTAAGCCACCAAATTGTATTCTATAAAAGGTAAAGGTTCCCCTCGCACATATGTGCTAGTCGTTCCCGACTCTAGGGGGCGGTGCTCATCTCCATTTCAAAGCCGAAGAGCCAGCGCTGTCTGAAGACGTCTCCATGGTCATGTGGCCAGCATGACTAAACGCCAAAGGTGCACGGAACATTGTTACCTTCCCACCAAATGTGGTCCCTATTTTTCTACTTGCATTTTTTACGTGCTTTCGAACTGCTAGGTTGGCAGAAGCTGGGACAAGTAACAGGAGCTCACCCCGTTACGCGGCATTCTATATGTTTAAAACGGCACACTTCAAACAAACTCGTACCTCTGAAAATTAAGGCTTTTGTTGCTGTGATAATAAGAGGATGCTTTTTGTTTGGTTTTAAGAGCCATCATAGACAACGTTAGAAATTGAGTTTCAAAACAAGGCTGACCACTTCCTGAAATGATTGTCTAAGCCTGCAATACAGGTAGTCCTGAAACAGTTCGTTTAGTGACCATTCGAACTTACAAAAGCAGTGAAAAAAGTGACTTATGATCAATAAGTGTTGAAGCATTCCCACATGATCAAGATGTGAGCGTTTGACAGCTGGCAGGTTATTTATGACAGCTGCACTTGTCCTGAAGTCATTTGATCGCTATTTCTAACCTTCCCAGCTACCTTCCATCAAGCAAAGTCAGTGGGGGAGGGGGGAGACGGATTCACTTAATGACCAGGGGAATCAATTAACAAACATAGCAAAACAAAAAATATAGCAAAACAAAAAAAATAAACTGGGGCCAAACTCACTTAGCAACTGCCTTGCTTGGTAATGGAAATGTTGAACTCAAGCCTTGGTAGTACAGTGGTTTAAAGCACCCTGTTATTAACACAGCTGCCTGCAATTACTGCAGGTTCGAATCTTACCAGGCTCAAGGTTGACCCAGCCTTCCATCCTTTCTAAGGTAGGTTAAATGAGGACCCAGTTTGTGGGGGCAATAAGCTGACTTTGTATAAATATACAAAAGTATGAAGGCTATTGCTTAACGCATTGTAAGCCTCCCTGAGTCTCCGGAGAAGGGCGGCATATAAATCAATTTTTTTTAAAAAAATTGTGGTTGTAGGTCAAGGGCTACCTATATATTCCTTTCTTGTTGTTTACCCAGATTTCAATAGCTGGGGCCAGATCTGTTACTGTTCCAGAGGACAGCCACTCTTTGTGAGTATTAGCACTGACAGGAACTCCAAATATTTGGGGGCTTTTGCTGCTGCTGCTTTTTTTTTTTTACATTTAACTTTTTTATTAGTTTATCGAAGTATAAAATACAAAGGGGGAAAAAAAGTAAGAGAGGGAGGGAAAAAGAAGGAGAAAAGAAAAAGAAAAATGCACTGCCGTCCGACTCTCTTTAGCAAAGTAGAAGGTAGCAACATCACAGCCACAACTTTTTGCTTTTACACAACAGTATGTACACACACCATTTCTATAACAATAATCCTGTCTAGTTTACAAAAACAAAATCAAAGTTTCATCTTCCCCCCCAATTTTAAGCACCAAATCCAGAAGCGATTTCAAAATCGGGACAAAATTAAATATATTCTCTTCTTTGGATAAAAAATAAAATAAAATCAGTTTAACCATTTCTGCTTCTCATTGCTGTGGGGTATAATATATTATTCATTTTCCTATTTTCAAATTAGTCAATTTTTTTTTTTTGCTTCTTGATTACAATGAATTTCTAAGTAGAAAGCTAATGTTCATGAAAATGGGCCACAGATGCCTCACTGCCAGTATTTCCTTTGTTTTCCAGACATAAATATACATAAATATATAGCCTTTCCAACACCCTGCTTTAAATAAATAGATCCAGACCAACTTTACAAGCATATTGTTTCTGTTCACTATCTCCATAAAGGCCAGAGATGATCATTTCTGTTTGTATTGGAATAAGACTGAATTTTTCATCCCTGTGTCTCTGCTTATATATGGTCGTTTGCAGTACTTTTAAAGTTAGAATAGCTGCATTGCCTTAACTGGAGGCCTATTTTGAAGAGAGCCGTATATTCTTGACTGCCTCCTTATTAGCTTCATGTAAGCATCTGTTTACCTTCAGCTAGAACATCATAAGCATCTAATTGAACAACCTGACTCTGAAATCATTTCTCAGCAATGATACCCTGAACAATTATAATGAATTGTCCTCAGGCAAAATTAAACGAGACAGTATATGATGAGCTTGTCCCTCACTGGCTGATCATGTATCCGTGTAGTCACCCAAACCGTACAGTTTTCACTCATTATGCTGATAAGGGGCTGAGAATCTGCGTTAGGTTCTGTCTAGAAATGGTACTCAAAGAAGTAAGCCAATGTAGAATGATCAAAGCCTTATAAATCCTAGGACTCTAAAAGGGAAAAAAAAAAGCTTGGAAATTGAAGTGACCAGTTCAAATATCTAATACAGGTAGTCCTTGACTTATGACCACAATTGAGCCCAAAATTTATGTTGCTAAGTGCGACAGTTGTTAAGTGAATTCTTAGCTCATTTTATGACTTTTCTCGCCACCATTGTTAAGTGAATCACTGCAGTTGTTAAGTTAGTAACAAAGTTGTTAAGTGAATCTGGCTTCCCCATTGATCTTGTTCGTCATGTGATCACAAAAGGTGATCACATGACCCCGGGGACACTGCAACCATCGTAAATATGAGTCAATTGCCAAGCATCTAAATTTTGATCACATGACCGTGGGGATACTTCAACGGTTCTAGGTGTGAAAAACAGCCATAATTCACTTTTCTCAGTGCCATTGTAACTTCGAAGGGTCACTAAATGAGCTGTTGTAAGTTTATGACCTTAACATGTGTGAGCAAGTGTTGAAGATACACTAGGGGGTCTCCAAACTTGGC